TCATATTCAATGTTTATCATCATTAAAAAAGACAACGACAACAACAACTAGTTACCTTTGCTTTCTCTTGTCAGCAACCATATTGTTGCTAACATATTTTTTTCTTTTAAATAGTTTTATCCCTGTCAATGTCACCCTCTCATCATGAATAGACATATATATACACCATCATGACCAACAGCATTGCTAACAACAAGAAGACAAACAGAACCGTATGGTGCTCTCTTATTTCTCCCCTTTTTTTTTTACTCAAACTATCATATGGGTTTCTCTTTCTCTATTTATATGCATTCTCAGCTGTTTTTTTTTTTGCCCCGTTCTTTTTTTTCTCTTGTTTGCCCGGATCATTCGAGCTAGAGACGAAGAATCAACCTTCGCTAGCCTTCGACGATAAACAAGAGCGCGAGAGAGAACGAACGAACTAACGTCAGCCATATAATTTATGTGTGTCATCCCCTAGAGGTATCCTGAGTATCAAAAAAAAAAAAGAAAAAAAGGAAAAGTAGTCGAAGAACAGAACACAAATTTGTTTCTCTTTCAATCAGCTGTATATACACTGTATCGAGGTCTAAATTATATGATAGATGAGAAGAATAGACTTGAACTTCTTATGTTGCCTCTATTAATGGCATTGCCTGATGAAGAAAAACAAAACAAAAGAACGATAGAGGATTTCCGTTTTATTACATTCGATGATTATTATCATTATTATTATTATTATTTTCAGATATTTTTTTTTTATTTCGATCTAATCAATGTTGTTCGAGCAAGATATTATTTACAAGAAATATTTTTTTTCTTTTATTTTTGCTTCATTTCAGAACATTATGTTCTGATCTTTAATCACATTTTATAATCCTTAATAATGCCATTGGGTACATTTTTTCTTTTATTTTTCTTCTCTCGTCCCTTTTTTCTTAAGTCAATAATAATAAATGATATGACAAACATTCGGGTGAAGCTAAGTCAAAGAGGCTTTTGTTTTACATACACACATGGTCCAAATGCATAGATTTCTTTTCTAACCGATGATATATGTTGTTTTAATACTCACTAAAATAAGTGAATAAATATACGCAAAGAAGCACAAAAAAAAAAGAGAGAAATGTGGTTTTTTTTGTGTGTGTGATAGAAAACACTAATGTTTACTTGTTTATTATTTATTACCAAGAAGATTAAATAAGAAATCTGATCAATGCTCATACATATATATGATGATATCATCTCTATATTTTTCATATGTTGCTTTACGTATAAAAAGATAGAAAGAAAGACGAAAGAAACTTGATTATATATATTATAAAGGCATCAACCAACTATGCCAGATTCTTCCATCCTGTCTTGTTGTTTTTTTTTTCTTTCTCCTTATTTTAGAAATAGAATGCAAGTGCAAAATAAGGGCAATAATAAAATGTTTTACTCATTGATTTATTTCATTAATTATATATTTTTTCAATTAAATGTGAAAAATATATGAGAATCAAGGGGAAAATCAATTTGAAGAATAAAAAAAAAACGAAAGAAAGATATTACCTTGTCGTTTCTCTATTCAATTATTGTATTTAATATTTTCGACAACAGTGAATAATAATAACAACAACAACAACAACGAATCAAATGTCATCAAGCAGCGATCTAATAAGATTCTCAATTTGCACAAGCTCTATCTCAATTTGTTTTAGTTGTTAGTGTATCTAAAAATAACAAAAACAACTTTACCTATCTCTTATGTTCTATATGATTTTTTTTAATACATTGAGAAGGTCATTATTTTTTTTCTATGGTGTTGTATAGAATGTGAATAAAAAACGAATAAGAAAAGAAAAAAAAAAAAGATCAAAAAATTTACATTTATTGTTTGATTATTATAAATGTTTTCTTCTCTTTTCCTCTCTGTCTCTATATGTATAAACATATACGTGTTTCGTACTCAAATAACCTTGATCCTGAACATAACATATATACACATGTGTGATTGATTATGTTTTAGTGTCAATATTTGAATGATATATAAATGAAATTCAATATCTATGTTAATACCTATGGCAGATGTAACTAAAACATATCTACATCAAAATGAAGTAAAAAAAAAAAAAAAATAAATTATATGATATACTTTTCTATAAATGTACAAAAGTATGTCAGTTGTTCGGATATATCAATGTTCTAGATAAATTAAAGCAATTATATATAGATATATATAGATATATATAGATTGTCCTCCGGTCTACTTGCTGTTGTTTTTTCTTAGAACTAGATAATTATATAGTTATCTTCGTACATAAAGATTTATTTATTTGTTATTTTGTCGCATCTGTATATATAACAGAATTCTTTCTTATATTGTTTCGTTTTTTTTTTGTGTCCTTCTAATATCATTCATATAAGACTATAGTAATTTTCTGGGTCATAAAATAGGATATATAGAGTACAATGAACATATTTTAGAAAATTGTTTTTTTTCCCTATGTTAGATAATTTATCATTCTTTTTCTTTTTCTTTTTTTTTTTGTTGTCTTATCTTTAAGTAGGAAAAAAATAGACCTATTAACTATAAGTAGTGTTAATCGAGCAATTTTCCTTGATGAGGACCAAGTCTGTATATAGTATGCATCGTTTCAATAGCGTCATTACTATGTTGAATATAACATGCTGATTTGACAATTGCTGGAGACAAAAAGAAAAAAGAAAGTAACAATGAATGATATGTTGTTCAGTGCACGTATTTGAATGGATGAGTTTCAAAAGGACTTTTTTTTTTGTGGCACTTAAATATGCACATGCATGTCAAGGGACAATAAAATGAGAACGAGAATGAGTGAAAGAAAAATAAATTGGTGATGCAGAAGATTTCAAAATAAAACAGTCTATTAATACATTTATATTGGTTGGTTGGAATATACAAAAATGAAATTAATGACGTGTCTACCAACTATTTTTTCTACATTTTGATTTTCTTTTTATTAGAAAAAAAAAAAAAGAAACGAAAAACAAAATTATGACAAAAAAAAAACGAAAAATTGCAACCCTCGAATATAACAAGAACAAATGAATTGATTTCATTGTATAAATATGAAAATTTCTCAACCATATATTTGTTTTATTATCTAATATATCACATATGATGCATTCAACATGCGTCGAAGATATAAATAACTCTTTTCTTTTTTTTTTGGTAAATAAACGACAATCAATCAACAAAAATGTTTGCAAACTGCAAGCTGTCATATTCATAAGCAATGCATCAACTGATTTTGGTATTAAAAGAAAAAGAAGAAGGTCACTAATATTTAGATTGAATGTAATAAAAAGACAAAAAAAAAACAAAAAATAAAGTCATTAATTATATTTAATGTGAACAATGTTGATCATTAGTTAATTTAATATTTAATTTTTTATTTTTTATACTATCATCAATTAATTGACGCATTTGTTCAATATCTTTATTTGCTTGTTTACTTTCAATAAGTGCTGAACCAGATACAATCATATTTGCACCAGCTTGTGCACAATCTTCAATTGTTTTTAAATTAACACCACCATCAACTTCAATATGTAATAATTGTGGATAATATTCTCTTAACCAACGTATTTTATTCATCATATCATTCATAAATTTTTGTCCACCAAAACCAGGTTCAACAGTCATTATTAAAACAACATCAATATCCTTAATATAATCACTTAAAACAGTTACATCTGTTTTAGGTTTTATACCAAGACCAACTTTCATATCAGCTTCTTTTATTTTACGTATTATATCCTTGATATTATCTGTTGTTGTTGATTCAATATGAAATGTATATTGATTAACACCAGCTCCAGCCATTTCTTCAATCCATTGTTCAGGTTTTGATACCATCATATGAGCATCAAAATAAATTTTAGGAATATTTTTACGAAGACATTTTATAACAGGATGACCAATTGTTAAATTTGGAACAAAATGACCATCCATTACATCAAGATGTAAATAATCAGCACCAGCATTAAGAAGACGACGACTTTCTTCAGCTAATGTTGATAAATCAGCATTGAGAATAGATGGACCAATAAGTCCTTTTAATTGTTGTGGTAATGAATCCATTTATCTAAAATAATTCATATGTAAGAATATATTGATAAATAAATCATATTCAATGAATATTAAAGTTTTATATATGTTATAATTAAAAACTTTTTAAATATTAAATTTAATATATAAAAAAAAAACAAAACATAAAACCAAGATGATTTATCTTAGAAAAGAGATAAGATCTAATCTATTATTCTTTTATTATTATTCAATAGTATAAGATTAATTATTTAGTTGAATAAAACAAGAATAATAAAATTTCTTTGTGATAATTGAAGAAGCATGAAAGATATAACAGAAGATTTATATGGTGTTGAAAAAAACCTTTCGATTATTTTAGCTAAAGAGAAAAGGAAAAAAAATGTATTCTTATAATTCAGAACAAATAGTATAAAAATTTCAAGAATAAAATGTTTATTTATATATTATCTTGTCAATTGAATTCTTTATTATCATCCGATAATAAGTTTTTAACGAGAGAAGGGCGTTTTATACTACTTGTGAAGGAAATGCTTTTAGCTTCATTTATATAAAATTGATAATTGAGTGCTGATGTATTATATTTTCCAAAAAAAAAACGTATGTCAACTTGACAATACTCTTCGACTCAATAGGTATTAGTAATGATTGTCAAATGATTTAACCCATAAACAAAAATCTATTTATTATTCAATATAAAAATTTTCGTTCGAATTCATAGAATGTTATATTCAAGCGAATGAAACTTGAACAAATATCAAAAAAATTTTCTTATTGTCTTTTTTTTTTTATAAAACTTGATGAAAGAAAAAATAACTAGACATAAAAAACTATCTGAAATTTTCATTTATTTATATTATAAAATTTCAAATTTAAAAAAAGAAAAAAAATTATTATTATTTTGTTTTTTTTGGTTCAAATAAAAATTTTTCTTATAAATAAAATATTATTGATATTCAGTAAAAAAAAATTGATGTTCTTTTATCCAATGTTTAGCACGTCGACGACGATCACTTTCATTACTTAATATAGAATCATCATCATTTATATCATTATCATCTTGTTGTTGATGATGTAGTTTTGTTCTTGTTGTTTCAATTAAAATTTCTTTTAATGGTAATGTTATTTCATTTCGTTCATTTATTTGTGTTGAAGATATATCATGAGAATTTGTTATTGTTTCTGTTAATGCAACACCAGGTATTTTACTATGATGTCGATATTCAATTAAACGTGTTTGTGCTCGTCGATATTGATCACTATTTAATAAACGACTTATAGGACCATTATCATGTTCAAATTCAGATGATATTTGTCGTTCACGATAGGATAAAAAATCTTTATCATTAATATATGTATTATCAATTGAATGACGATTTGTTTGTTTTGAAATTGATGGTAATTTTGGATAATGATGATGATCAATAAGATATTGTTCAAAATGACGTTCAATTGATGATGGTACACGAGGTGAAAGTGGTTGTAAATGAGGAAATCGACGATGATGGAATTGACGTGGAGAAACCGTCGATTCGTCTATAGTAGCCATGAAAAATGATGACAAACATGAAAAAAGATTTTTTTACAAAGGTATCAATATATAATGGAATTATTAAAAATATTGATCATAACAACAAAGAATAGAAGAAAAAAAAAGAATTCCATTAATGTAAACATTTTGTTCGACAAATAATAATCACATTAATATAAACATGTTTTCATTTAAAATATAAATGTTGAAACAATTGTCTAAATGTTGATCGAAGGAACTTGAAAAATTCGAATGTGTTTTCTTGTTGTTGATGCAGAAATAATATAAAAACGCATGATTATAAACTAGACTAGTTCTCTATTGAATTAATAAACGAATTCATATATATATATATACTAAGAAAAAAGTTCAACCAAATGGAATAGATATATCAATACTTAAAAACATGTACAATTCAAACAACATGATAATATAACAATTGATTGAATATACGATATTTGAAAAATTTATATTAATTTTATATCTAAAGAATGAATGAACAAATGAAATGAAAATATGTAACCGATGACAAATATCTTTCTTTTAAGAGTAATAAAGAGAAGACAAAAAAAAAAACAAACAAAAAAATATATATATACAATAATTAATTTTTGTCCGATGATGATGATGATGAAGGTATAAAAGATCCTTGAGGAACAAATCCAAGTCCAACACCACGTCTTAAATGTGTTGTTATTCGTGCTGTTTGATATTCTTTATCAAGTGAATCAAATGTATTTTGTTGTTGTTGATTAATAGCATTTGTTTCAGTTATATCATTATTTGTATTACTACCTGTTTTCATACCTAATAATTTTCGAAATTTTTCAGCTGTTTTTTCATCTTGTCCATCAGTTATTGCTGCACCAACTTTACTTGTTGATGTCTAAATAACAGTAGAAAAAAATAAATAAATAAATAAATTAGAAACAAAAAAAATTTTGATATTCAAAATACTTTATCATTAGTTTTTGACCAAAGTAATTTACGTTTACGTTGTTGTTGAGCATATTGAAGTGGATTAACTGCACCAGTATTGTAAATTTTTGGAATTGATATACCAGTTAATTCTTCAATCTAATTATAAACAAAAATGAAAATTATTTTATCTATACTCAATGAGATCTATATAATCTTCAAGTATTTCGTATGATATTATTTCTTTTTTTCATTTTAGAAATTATGAAATTCATTATTTATCATATAAAATAATTATACAAAAAAAAAATTAGAGGATGTGGCTGTGATCATTCTTTCAATATCCACATTTTTACATGTTTATATCAGTATAATTTTTATAGAGATAATATTCTTTAAAATAATGTTCGAAGTACTTGAAGGTTATATAGATATAGTTAGGTACAAATCTTTTCTTGTTTACAGATAAACTAATTTATATATTAAGGTCCAAAACTGATGGGACGTCCTTTATCTTATATGTCATAGAATTTTTATGTTTTCATTGTCATATGATATAGATCCTAATTACTAACCATTCAAATTAAGAAAATCTGTTTTCTATAAAACAAAAAAAACAAAAACATTCATTCCGAGGTCAATGTTTTCGACAACTTGACATGTACTAACTCGTACATTATTATTCCAAAGATGACCTTTTTTCTTTTCAGTAAAGTCACTGTCAATTATTCCGGATAGAACTTACTCAGTTTTTTTGGCCCGTATTCAAAGTTGTGATCACGGTTTTTAAATCATTTGAGAGACTCATGTTTGATTTTTTTATTAGTTCAATTAAATCTAACACATGATTCGATTTAATTCTAAAAACGTTAGTTTCAATCAATGCTGAAACCTTCGTTTTATATTTCATAAGTGTGTGTGTTTGTTAGAGCTTTTCATAGAGTGTAAAAGAAATACTAATACAAAGAAATGATAAATAGAATTCTTTCTTTTAATTTCTTGAAGTTTTTTTTGATAAGAAATTTATTATAGATAATTGATTTTTTTTTTTTTGTCTTGTTAGACTCAAGTAATACTCATTTATTACCCTAAAAAATAATAAATCGAAATCAGTTATATTCTTTATACTTTGTTTAATGTCATTGTGATCTTGTTGAGAAATATTTATATGGTATTAAAAATAAATTCAATACATTGCTCAGCATGATTATAATGGCATACTGAAAATAAAGTAGAAACAATCTTAGATGTATGATTTTCAAGTCAATCAATCTCATAGAGAGAGAAAAATAGTAGGTGGGCTATAATGAATGATCGTTTTTTTGTATTTATTTATTATCGAACATATTTTATATCATAAAAAAATTTATTTCATATAAACACACTTTTAGCTTTTATAAAATATAGACAAAAATTTTTGTTTCAAATTGATTTTTTTCGCATATGTTATTGACGATCGTATCTCAATATAGAATAATCGAGATCATTGATATGAATATCTATCATCGTTTATGAAATTTCTTTCACAACATGACAATGTTTTTTTTATGTGTACGCAATATGAGATTATCCTGTTGATAGATGAAATCATCATCTAGTACATATATTGAAACATATCTTCAACATAATTCTCATATGATAATATTTTACGAGGTTTAAATAAGAAAGACTATATTTAGAATAATATCAATCTCTCTGAAATTGACTGTTGATTATAGTTCCATACGGCATTATCAATACTTTGAAAACTAGAAGTATATATATACTATAGACAGTCATAAAGTTCTGAGAAATTCCAAAAAGGATCGTGTTGGATTTGATGACCTACTCAGAATTAATAAACTAAACATACTATGTTGTAAAGCAAGTCGAGACACGTCGAATGGTATATAACAAAACTTATTTTCAAAAAATTTTGAGGAAATCAGATTAGATTTACTAGTGGGCAGTCATACATTCAAAAACTCACCGACAGACATTACCCGTGAAAAACTCTACAAAACTGTACATAGGAAAATTATTTTTACAAATACTTTCGACTGATACTAAGGCCTAAAATAGTCAGCGCTTTGAATGCATGACCACCTATCAATAAATCCAGTCCGGTAGAATTTTTTGAAAACAAGATTTATTATATACCATTCGACGCGCCTCGACTTGCTCTACAACATGGTACGTTTTGTTTATTAATTTATGAGTAGGTCACCAAATCCGACACGATCCTTTTTGAAATTTCTCAGAACTTTTTTCACTGCTCATAGTAAAATACGCTTTATATTGTACAGTTTTTCAAGCTGTATCTTGTAGTCTATTTTTTTTCTGCAATAAAACGTATTAAATGATGACAAAAAATACAAAACGTGACTATTCATTATCTCCTACCTCAGTATTTTTTCTTTCGAAGGGACCGCTAAAAACTCTAAGAGAAGATTTTCGAAAAGGCGCAGCCCTCATTCTAGATAAAATACTAGTTTAAGCCAGTCGGATTAGTTTTGGATTCAACGGACTTTAGTCGTTTAAGAAATCTGCACGATGAGTCGTTGATCATCAAATAGAAAAAATATCTTCGAAACGACTATCCAATTAACAAAATTTCATTCAGAGTGTAGAATTACTGTTTGGTCGGATACAAAATTTTGATTCCGACGAGCTCTATCACTAGTCTATTTGTTACATAAAATATATTTATTTTTATAGTCTTAATAACTAAATGAATGATTGTAGTTCGAGATTATTCTTTTTTTTTTTTCTTTTGTTATTATATTTTCTTGAATATTATTATTCAACTTACTAATTTTCTAATTTCATCCATTTGATACATTATTGTAGCACCTTGATTTGATCGTAATTCTTTTGGTACATCAACAGCTTTTTTTAAATCTTCAATTGTTAATTGTGATAAATCTAATGTATCATTAGCTTAAAAAAAAAATAAAGTTAATAGAATCAAAATCAAAAAAAAAAAACAACATTTCATTCGAATAATAATTACCTGCCATATCTTTTAATTTTTGTAATGTTTCTAATTGAATACGTTTTTTTCCATCTTCATGTAATCGTATTTCAGTATGTAAATTTCGATTTTTAGCTTGAAAAGAAAAGAAAAACAAAACAAAAAAGTAATGACGATTACTACTAACAAATTTCTAATCATTTTACCTGGACTTATATGTTTACGTGGTGAATGTCGTCTTGATCTTGATCGTGTTCTTGATCGTCGTCGTCGTGGTGAACGTGATCGACTATGTCGATGTCGTTTTTGTCGATGATGACGAGATCTTGATCTTGATCGTGATCGTTTATGTCGATGACGTTTTATTGATGATGATCGAGATCGATCATGTCGTTTTCTATGACGTAATTTATTATCATTAATTTTTTCCTAAAAACAAAAAACAAAAAAAAACATCCAATACTACTCTCTACTACATGAAATATATTCTTTGTACATAAGAAATTGTTTTTTTTTTTTTTTTGATTTGTTTAAGAACAAAAATAAATATATTTCTATAATACCTACCCATAAAATATATGATATCTCGTTAATAAAACTTACAATCTATTTTTGAAATGAAATTATCCCATTTGATCATCGTCATTAAATTGAATCAATCGATGACAAGTAGAACCATATGGAACTTCTCTTTCGGATTAGAAAAATGATAGATTAGATTAGATTTAATTTATACAAAAGCAAAAACAAAAAAAAAAGCATCTCTTTCTTAAAAATCTAACTACAAAAATAGAACGAACAAAAAAAAAAGGAAAAAAACAATAAAGAAAACATTATGCTTACAGGTGATTTTGTTGTTGATGTTGGTTTTTCAATTGTTACATCATTTGAACTACAAAAAAAAAAACAAATATTTAAATTAAACATAAAATAAAAGAAAGTTTCTTTGTTTTTATTTACGATTTGTCAGCCATTATTATATAAAGATGATAGAAATTTAATATCTAGAATTTAAACAAGATTAGAAGAATTGAAGTTCAACATTATAATAATCAAAATATGTTAGAATGATCAGAAATGACATAAGCGCGAGATTGTAATGCCTTGCTCTTCAATGTTAGCTGCCTTGGAACAACGATGAGAATGATTATACTATGGCTACATGTCTAAAAGTATCGAATTAAATGTGTGTTCTATAAGATACGTTTAAGTGTTTGACTACTGAAGTATTTCGATAGGATCAATTGACTTTGTTGCTACATTCTTTTTGACAATCACATCGAAAGTTAAAGAGTGATTCAAAAGTCTTCGTCATTCTTAAAAGAAATTGCTCGGTTTTCCTTATTATCAATCCAAAAACGCGCAAAAGTTGGATGTCTAATCTCTTGTAACCCGACAAATATTACCGTAAATTTTCAAACCGTCTAGTCCTTATTACAGGGGAGATACATAGGTTCGTATGATAAAGAAGATTTCCTTTTTGTGTACTCAAAAAGTGAGTACACTCTAGAATCGGTCAATATGTCCGTCCGGCTGTTAACACGATAACTTTTGAAAGGAGAGTTCAGTCTTAACAATGTCTCGGTCGAGTTCGAAGATGAGAAGGATCCGTCAAGAGATAGCTGAGTTATCGAAAGAATTGTCATTATGGACCAGACCATCCCTGAGGGGGGTACAGGGATTTTTTCAAAAAAAGAAATTTTTCTCAGAATTATTCACAACATATATAAATCGACTCAGTAGTTAACGCTGATTTCGAATTTGATATTAGTTTTGAAACAAATCGTAGTTTTCTAACAAAACATCGCCTGAAAAAGGTCTCAAACTGCATTCAGAAACCAAATTGCCTAGATATGTCTCAGATGATAAAAAACAAAGTGAATATACCTGTTCACTTTTTGAAGTACATATAACACTCGGATTTAAATCCGAGGTTCTCGCATTTTTTTTTCCTATGTCCTAAAATTAAAATAGCGACGATTTCCGATGCACACAATTCAAAATTACCGTAAATATTTTTTTTTTCTATATGTTTCGATAGGATGCAAGCAGATGGTTACAAAAAAATGGATTTTTAGCTTTTGAAAAAGCTTTCATACATCCAAAAAAAATAGTTTCATAAGCTGAGAAAATTTCGCGTATTTTGAAAAATGATGCATTTTATGACAAAAATGGTTTCCTTTAAAGTTTTCAACCTCAAAAGCTAAAAATTTTGTTTTTTTCGTAATAATCTGCTCGTACCCTATTGAAACATATAGAAAAAAGTGTTTACTGAAATTTTGAATTGTATGCATCGTTATTTTAATTTTTGGACATAGGAAAAAAAAAGTCTTCCCTATAATAAGGACTAGAGGTCTAAAAATTTAGGATAATATTCGTCGAGTTACAAGAGATTAAACATCCAACTTTGAGTATTTTTGGATTTATAATAAAGGAGAGCGAACAATTTTTCTAAGAACGATGAAGATATTTGAATCAAAATTTATCAGCGATTTCGTCATGCAAATATTTCTTTGTAAAATTCAAAAGCTGTTATCAAATGTAGAAAAAAAATGCTTCAAAAAACTTCATCCAAATTATGAACATTTTTGTAGATGATCAATTAAAACCTATCAGATACTAATTATTCTTATGAAATCTATTTTCTTCAATTTAATTACAAATAGTATTCACAATTTCAGACGGTGAAGGTCTTAACAAAGATCTACATGGTATACTTATATCAACTGTTAGTTTTTAAACTGATTTAGAGAGTTAGTATCAGAAATTCATAAGAAAAAAAGAGGACATTAGGCAATCTGGCTCTTATCACTAAATCCTATTCACTTTCCAAAGACATTGTCTGCTTATTCACTCTATCAAAGAACGACACATAGTGTTTCACAATCAAAGTTATCACGAATGTGTAAAAAAAAAACATTGGGAAGATCTTCATTTGTATAGAAACATGTCTGAATCCTATTCTGAAATAAAAATACTAATATTTACGAACGAAATACAATATTTGTATTCAACAAAAAAAAAACAAAAGCTAATACCGATTAATTCGTAGTAGTTAATGAAAATGAGAACAAAAAATTATTATTTCGTTTATTTTCTATTGGTTAAAATTAACCATTATCAATTACTTTGTCATAATTCATCATTCATACTAAACTTCAAAAAATTTTTTTTTTTTTGTTTTTCCTATTTTGACTAAAATATTAAGTTTTTTTGTTTTTTTTTAACTTCAAAAATTTATTTGTATAGATTCAAAACTAGTGGCGCCCTCTTACAACCTTAAAAAAGAAAAAAGAAAACATATTTCATTCATTCTATATATATATATAGACAAAAAAAAGATGTTCACATCATCATGTGCATGTAAAGGTATTCGTTCATGTAAACTTTGTGAAACAAAAAAAAAAGATCATTTAATAAATAATGAATCAACAACAAATATAATTTATATTTATTGTGATACATGTCGTCAAGCAATACGTATGGATATATATGAATTAAATTCTCAATGTCCACATCATAATATTAATAATAATAATAATGATATAAGTTTTCCATTAGATGGTATATATCTTGTATCAGATTTTCTTAATGAAAATGAAGAAAATAATTTATTAAATTCAATTAATAATGATATATGGATATCATCACAATCCGGTCGTTTAAAACAAGATTTTGGTATTAAAATTAATTTTAAAAAACAAACAATTAAAACAAAATATTTTACTGGTATGCCAATATATTCAAATGATATTCTTCAACGTTTAAAAACTTATAGATTATTAAATGATTTTCAATCCGTTGAATTATGTAATTTAGATTATAATCAAGAACGTGGTTCACATATTGATTCACATATTGATGATATATGGATATGGGGTGAACGTTTAATAACAATAAATTTATTATCAAATACAATATTAACATTAATACCAAATGAAAAAAATACAAATAAAATAATTTATATACCATTACCACGTCGTTGGATGATTGTACTTTATGGTGATGCTAGATATGAATATAAACATTCTATACAATATCAACATATACAAAATAGACGTATAGCTGTTACATTTCGTGAATTAACAGGAAAAAATGAAAAATTTTATGAAGAAAATAAAGATTTATATGAAAGAATTATTCGAATTAGTAAACGTTTTACAGGAATATCTGTTGGAAGATTTGAAAAAATTGTTCATGATATTAATACAATGATGATTGTAAGTTTTAATTAAATATTATAGCAAAATTTATATATATAAGAATTAATCTTCATATGAGAGGTTTTTTCTGCAAATTTATTTTCTCCGATATATACATTAGTAAAAAAAACAGCAAAATCAAATTATAATTTGACATATATGTTCAATATTTGAACAAGAGTATGTCCTTTTATACTTAACATTCTGATGTTCGGAAGACTTATCTATTACAGAAGAAATTTCGTTATACGACTCTTTCACTGATACTTTGCTGGAGGTAAAGAATTTTCGATAAAATCGTATTAACATGAGAAAAACAGAACATGAAGGTAAATTCTTATAGACTTCTAATATTTTCGTTGGATGTTATTTACGGACAAGATATTAGCTTGATTGACGAGTCATATAAAGTGTGGAAACATATCACAATAAAAAAGGTATATTTTGGTAGAGTTGCTGTCTTACTACTGCAACAACGACTTGATACAATTGAAGGAAAAATTGACGATATTTTTTTTTTGGAGTGAGCGAGACTAAAAATTCAACGGATAGTGTTTTCATCCTTAGAGTGCTAAAAGTGTTGACAGGAAGGGCAATGAACGAAACTCATCATGATTCGATATCAGACTGAATACACTCTGTCCTGTGAAATGAAATAGAAATAATAATCAACCATGATCCAGACATCATAACTTGAAAATTCAATAAAATACTAAGATTAAACAATATAACTTGAGAATAAAAAAAATCGTTTATTCAAGCAAAATTTCATTTGTCTCGACCAGGCTTCACTCGATTTCGAATACACAAGATCGCATCGTCATAGTTCAATCGTTATACTACTCAATATACATATCCACAGTGTACTATTTGCAAACCTCTGAACAAGTCATACCAACTATGTTGTTAGATAATGATATAAATCATTTTTCTGTCCTATACATATCTCACTGTCTCTCTCTAGTTACTATTTTCCTATTCAAATCTGTTGGATATTTTCCAATATTAGCATTTGCTAGAATTTTTCCTAATATCTTGTATGAATAATCTCAAAAGAGTGTATCGTTCATTATCGTATACATACATCTGTGATTTTCTTGTAATAAACAAGATAGTGGTCAACATTTACAGCTAATATTAATTCCCAGTGAAAAATATTTGCTTCAAAGAACGGGAAAGAACGTGTTTCGTAAAATTAAAAGTCCTTGTTTTTTTTTAAGAAAAGAAGATGTTTCAACAAAAGTGGAATGCGTTCTTAACTGTTTCAGCTTTTTTGGAACGCATTCTTGGTCGTTATTGCCTGAATTTAGATTCACTATAAGAGTTCTCGAAGAGAAGTTCAGACCAGAGATGTCCATCGCGGTAGCGGTAGGTTTTTTGGAAAACAATGCATGAATTCGAACAGAATTTCAATGTTTGCAAGTGCAAAACTATGAGATTCAACGAATCTTATCGATTGGTAACAACAGCTCTAGTCCTGAACAGTCACAGATCGTAAAATTCACAACATTATTCTAACAATCATCGCGGCATGGTTATTTTTGGTGGCGTCGCGGTAGGTTTTCTGTTTTTTCACCGCGGTGCGGTAGCGACGCGTTAGCTTTTTTCTTTTATCGTCGCGGCGTGGTACTGGTCAGTTTTTAACCGCGATGGACATCTCTGGTTCAGACATAATTTTTTGAAAGATCAATTCTGATGCAACTCGACGAGCTCTATCCAATGGCATGTTCTAATTTTTCGTAGCTCAAACTGTTATTAAAAAAAATGTTTTTGGAATCACGACTTCTAATTGAAGATTCCACCATTTTTGGTATCAGTTTCAGAGCTGTCATTTTTGAATCAAAAGTGATGTTAAACTCAAATGAAATCGTTCATCAGTCAAAAGAATCGATTCTCAAGAGAATGTTTGAAAAAAACGATCTCATTTCAATGGAATCCTATCTTGACTGTTTCAAAATAGAATGGGCAGAGGCACGTTCTATTGGCTCATAGAACGGTTCAGAACGCTTTCTATTCAGATAGAAAACGATTTTTGAACTGAGAAGAGGAAGCATTTCGTACTAATGTGAAACAGTAAATAATAAGACTCAGAACTTTTCTTTTTGTTTGTGAAAACATTCGCTAAGCTGTAGAATACATTCTTCATATAAAAGATAAATCTCTATATTTTTATGAATGTGTTCTCATCCGGAAATATTTTTCACTGGGTTATAGAAAATGTATTGAGTTATGGAATTTTTTCATGTTATATTTGAAATTTTCTAATATAAATTCATTGTTTTAAAGGATAAAATGGATATTGATATACCATCAATTGATGAAAATCAATTAAAAGAATTATTTGAATCAATTTATAAAGACAAATTTTTATCATATGAAAAAGAAAATTCATCTACTTATTTAATTAATGTTGAAAATAAATATCTTATGAAATTATTTTCACATTCATCTATTTCATTTGAACAATTACAATCGATTTTATTATTATGTCAATTTAATGGAACAATTCTTGATAGATCTATTAATCAATCTTATATTGTTATTTTTAATAATAATTTTTCATCAAATAAACAAATAGGACATTTTTTAGGACAATGGCGTTTACATACACGTACAAATCTTAAAATATTATGGAAAAATCCATATGATAATGATTGGTTTAATCAACAATATGCATCTATAATTAATAAAAAAAAAAATAATTATCCATTTTTTCTATCAAATTTATATACATGTCAAGAAAAAATTTCAATTATAGAAGAAAATCAATTAGAATTTGGTCTTTTATGGACTAATAATCAACAATCATTTTATATTATGGATTTAATTTTTTATTTTCTAAAAAATTTTGATTTATTTATTGATAATATTAAAGAAATTATTAATGCATATGAAGAAATTATTCAATTAACAAATGATGAAATCAATTTTTTAGATACATTTATACGTTTACAATTAGTTTTATTATTAAATAATCAAGATAATAATATTGATGATGATAAACAATTAGATTTACTTGAACAACTTTCTTCAAATGTTTTTTTTATTCGAGATCTAATCAGATGATCTGTTTGTTTTGTTTTATTTGTTTTTTTTTTCATAAGTAAAACATGATTCATTGTTTACCTCTCTTTTTTTCTTTATTTATTTTCGGTGTTATAATTTCTATGAATTTTTATAGAAGTTCTTTGGTTCGAGTGAGTCTTAAGGTATGAATATTGCTGCTTTGTCTCTTCTTCGATTTGCTTTATTCTTTGGTTTTGATTAAAAAGGGAGGGGCGATACGAAAAGTTTTGAGACATTATGTTACAAGATCCAGCAGAATTTTTTTTTGAAAATCTTAGCTTTAGATCAATATATTCTTCACTTTTCGAATGAAGAATAAGAGTTATGAGTGCATTTCTATAAGGTCCGAAAATAAAGTTTCGATGAGATGTAGTGCACAAAAACAAAACTCATAGGTTAGGAATTAAAAATTATTTTGAATACAGAAAACGAAAGAGGAAACATTTCTTAAAAAAAAAAAAATGATATACTAATCTTTAGCTTTCTGTACGATGTATATTAATAATTAAAGTTTCAGCATAAGACATAATTACATTCTTTGATTGCTAGACTTTTCAAAGTCAACTCTGTCATTTCTGGATGATTGCTATGAGATCTTTTCTTTTCAGAGCAATTTATGATTTAAAGAAGCATAAATAATTCCTAATCAATGATTGTAACTCAAGACTTTTTAAATTTTTGTAGGCAGTTTTTGATCGATGAAAAAATAACTGCAGAAACATTTTGTCTCAAAGCTTTCAAATCTTCTTTTTTTTCTTTTGTTTAAAATACGTATATTCATACAGGAGAAACAATGCCCCGTGTTATTGGCTTAATGAGTGGCAGTTCATTAGATGGTCTTGATATTGCTTGTGTAGATTTTTCTTCGGCTGGTACTTATCCAGATGAAAAATGGATATTTGATATTGTTCATGCTGAAACTATATCTTATTCACCTTATTGGATAAAAAAATTATCTACAGCAATTGATTTAGATGCTCGATCATATCTTCTTTTACATACATCTTATGGTCATTATTTAGGTCAATGTGTGAATAATTTTATTACTAAATATAATCTTAAATTAGATGATATTGATCTTATTTCATCTCATGGTCATACTGTATTTCATGAACCATGGAATGGTATGACGGGACAAATAGGAGATGGTTCAGCAATATGTGCTGAAACACATTTATTAGTTGTAAGTGATTTACGTTCAATGGATGTTGCTAATGGTGGTCAAGGTGCACCAATTGTACCTATTGGTGAAATATATTTATTTAATGAATATCGTCTTCTATTAAATATTGGTGGAATTGCAAATATAACTGATCGAAAATATCAAATTGCATTTGATATATGTCCTGCTAATCGTATATTAAATAAACTTGTTGAAAAATATTTTAATAAAGAATATGATGAAAATGGTATATATTCATCTAAAGGTGAAATAAATGAAATATTATTAAATAAACTTAATCAATTAGATTATTATAAAAAAATATATCCAAAATCTTTATCAAATTCATTTGGTCTTGATATTATTTATCCATTATTAGAATATGATAAATTAAATATAAATGATATTTTACGTACTTATATTGAACATATAATACAACAAATAAATAATTCAATACAAATGATTATTAAAAATGAAAAATTAGATCAATCAACATATAATAATTGTAAAATGTTAATTACAGGAGGTGGTGCACATAATATATTTTTATTTCAATGTTTAAAAAGTAAACTTAAAGAAAATTTTAATATTGAAGTTGAATATCCTAATAGAAATGTTATTGATTTTAAAGAAGCATTAATTATGGCATTTATTGGTTTATTACGTATACAAAATAAACCAAATGTTTTAGCTTCAGTAACTGGAGCAAAAATGGATACAATTGGAGGAGCTATTTGGAGTAATTAATTATTTTTATTTGATTATAAAAAATAACAGAAGAAATTTTCGTTTTCTTATTTTTTATTTGATTGTAATAAAGAGAATGAATTAAAAAAGATATTTTTGATCGAAAAAATTCAAAACCTTGATAGGAATTTAGTGATCGAATTTTTCTAGATTCAAGAAGAAATGAAAGAATGATGTTCAAAAGATCTATTTATGTGAAAAGTTGAGTCTTTCTCGTTTTCTTTTTTACGGTTCCTAAAAGAAACTCTTAGTAAAGCTCATCAGAGATCATTTTATTGATCTCTTGGAAATAGTATACGTGTAACAAATCTTAAGATGGTCAGATTTGCGTTTGTATCTACGTCAGATTAGATTGTGCGGTTGAATGACATACTCATATTTTTGAACTGTGATCTCATTTTTGATTATTTTACTGTTTATGTTCACTATTAGAACTATCTTACGTATCATCTTGTACTTGCTTTCTTCTATTAACTCTATGTAATTTATTTCTGTACTCTACAGTCAGGAAACCTAGAAATATGCAGAAAACTGTAACAGTGTTAAGTGAAAAATCTATAGAAAAGTTCATAAAGCAAGTAAGATCAATCAAATATTTTTAAAGATAGGTCCTTAGTAGATGAATACTTCGAGGTAAACATTTCTCAGTTTTATTGTCCTATTGTTTTTAACTTTCGTCAATAAAAGAATGAATGTTTAAGAATATACAATATTCTCGAACTAGAGCTGCCTATCGATGTGAACGACATTGCAGCAGCCACAAATATATCACAAGGATCCTATGAAACTCATAGATTCGAATTAATACTCATACTTCAGTACTATCACTGCAATGAAATTCAAAATATTTCTCTTGCTTCGAACTATTCATTTCAGAATGTATGGTAGTCTATTAAGTCCTACATGAATGATATCATGTTAAACTAATATCAAAATCGATTATACGACAAGTTTTTTAAACTTTTCTGAATAAGTCTTCAATTGATTTTTGTTTTTTTTTCTCATTATGAATATTTATCAGCCAATAGATAATTATCAAAGAATGATTGAAATTTTTTGTTTTAGATAAATATCAAAAAAAAAAAAGAAAACAATAAAAATGCTCTGTAGAATTTTTCATCGTTATACTTCAACATCAGCGGTTAGTCGTTCGAAAAGTTTTACATATCCACAACGTATTAATCGTTCTCCAACAGCAATACTTGAATCATTAAATGCATGTGTTCAAACCGATGGTGGAAATCCTACTTATCTATATATGGATGATCCATTTTTAATTCCCACATCAGCACATGAAAAACGACAATTAGCATTATCAAAAGCTTCAGGTAAAAAAGCAGCTCGATGGATTATGGATCGTTATTCTTATGCATTTTTTAATGATGTTGCTGTTCCATCAATCCCATCATATTTTCCAAATTATATATTTGATGAAAAAGAATTTATTGAACCAGATGAAACAACTTTATATAAATTAATGAATTGGAATAAAATTACTAAAGCCTATGAAATTTATAAAAAATGTTTAGATTATAAAATTAATATTTCTGATGCATGCAAATATGCTTTATTTGATTTATTATGTATTTATAATAGTGATAATCCTATAGAAATTTTACCACCCGAAGAAGATTGGTATAGAAGAGAATTAAATGAAACAAATCAATCAGGTAGAGTATTCGAAGGAAAAGAAAAACCCATCGAATCAATTTTCAAAAATCATATCTAATTGATTTCTTGTCAATTGAGACCAAAATTAATAGGGTGGCGGGATGTTCGCCTATAAGACATTCGCCAATGGCGAAAGTCCTGAGGGTATATTGGCAAAAGCACAGTAGACTTTCGCCAATTGGCTAAGTTCCAGGGAATGTATTGGCGAGAGTGCAGTGCACTTTCGCCAATTGGCGAAGTTCCAGAGATCATATTGGCGAAACTACTGTGGACTTTCGCCAATTGGCGAAATTCCATGGGGTGTATTGCCGAAAGTACAGTGGACTGTCTCCAATGGCGAAAGTCCTATTGGCGAAATTCCGGAACCCCAATTAATAATCATAACGGGTTGATCATTTTATGATTTAGTATAAGATGAGTCTCGCTAATAAATTAGATTCAACATAAGAGATTTTTTGAATCGTAACTTTTATTCTTTAGTATTCGTTGTATACATTGATATGTTTTCGGAATTCAAATAGTGTATCTTTCAGACTCATGTCTATGAGAAGAAGCTGCAGTTAATTTTTCCTTATCTTTATAAAGCTTTGAGGAAATTGTAAATCGAACCTTTAAAATAAATTAGTTTGTACAATAAAATATAACGCTCTTGAAAACGATTTCGATACAGATCGTGTTTTTATTCAAATCATATAGGAAATAGAATCAAATAAAATATTTGAAGGCTAATCTTCAAATAATTTCAATAGAGAATAAATAAGTCGAATCATTAACATAAGAATATTTTTATTAAATGATAAAAAAAAAATTCTACTATTAAATCATCAATAATAAAACAATAACTATAAGATTATTTCAATTGAATGTATTGCATAAGATAAATTTTTGTTTTTTTTTTTTTAAGGTTTAATACAACGAATTTGGAAAGATAATAGTTTAGCTGAACAAATGTTTGAAGAATTAAAAATTCTAGCAACATTTGAACAAAAAATTCGTCTTTATAATTCATTTGCTAGTGGTTTATTTAAATATAATCATGCTGAAAAAGGTATGATAATTATTGATGAAATGAAACAAAATAATATTTCAATTAATTTAATAACATATAATTATATACTTCGTTCAACAAGTTTAATTAAAGAAACATATGATACACGTTGGCAATTTATGTATGATTATTTAAATGAAATGAAAGAAAATTTTATACAACCAAATTTACGTACATTTAATTCAATACTTTATACGTTAAGACGATGTTCATTATATGAACGCGGTCCTAATTTAGCATTATCATTATTAAAAGAAATGCGACAATGTAATATTGAACCATCACTTGGTACATGGGCACATATTATTATGATTTTTTATCCAAATGATCAAATTGGTTATGATACAAAAATTTTACCACAAATTATCGATGAATTAGAAAAACAATATGAATTAAATGGAAATCAATTTCAATGGAGAGATATTGATGATAGAGAATTTTTTTTTAATGCTATGTTTAAAGCTACTGTTAATTGTCGAGATGTTGATTTAGGTAAACAAAAAAATCTATCACTGAACAATGAATAGATCTTTCTAAATTGTTTAAAACACCCGGAAAAGGATAAGAATTAAATAATTTAATGAAGTACGAGTACTGTAATTTCATTTTGGGAGCGCAGATATAGAATTTCGAAGATCCAGTTTTCTAGTTTCGAGAAAACTGTTGCATAGTTTATTCCGATGGCATCTAAAAAAAATTCTCATAGATCTCTAGTTCTGATCGTATGGTTCATTTTTTTGCTATTTGATTGTACAAGATTGTCTAGAGTTAAATTCTATATCGATAAATTTTAGCAAAACCGATTTAAATTGAAGAAATAAACTTAAAAAGTATTAAATTATGTTTCATAAAAATGAACATTGAAAATTTTAATAACTTTTCTGTATTATTCAACAAGAGGCACTTATTGTCTAAGATTTTAAAAATTCTAAGTTTGAATTTAATAAAAAAAAAAGCAATACCATAATATATATAAATTCAGAAAAATGAAGGTTAAAACAATAATGTTTTTTTTTTATCTAAGATCATTGAGCTAGATGCATGTCCGATACACTCAACAAGAAAAAAGAACGTTTTTAACCCTTAGTTTTCTAAATAAATTTTTATTTCAGTTAAACGTATTCATCGTTTTCTAATGACTGGTTCCAATAGTCGTTTTATTCCTGATGGATTTAAAGAACAAATGTATTATACAAATATGTTTCGTTTACTTTTTCGTTTTGATATACCTGAACATGTTATACCATTATGGGAATCAGTTGTACCAAATATATATTCACCATCAATAAATATAATTGAAGATTTTATTGAATTTATTTCAATATGGAATATAAAAGATTATTATGTTCGTTTATGGTCAGATTTATTATTATTAGGTTTTATTGATAATAGACAAAATAATCGTCGAATAATTGAACGTTATTTAACATTACTTATACGTCATGATCAAGAAAATTTATCAAATGAATTAATAAAACAATATGCTAATATAGCACGACAAATTTTAAAACGTTTTCCATTAATATCTAATGAAGATGAACAACAAATGCAAAATACAATTGATGAACAACAACAATCACAAGAAACTGATGAACAACAACAACAACGAACAAAACAATTAAAACAATTTCAACCAAAATTTCAATATAGTGGACAATTATTATCATATCTTATTTATTTATTAACACGTGTTGATGATTTTGATACGAGTTGGTCATTATATGAATATTATTTATTAAATAAAAATATACTTATTAATCCATTAAATGATATATGTCTTATGTCATTATTAACATTATCAATCAAACATAATCATATAGATCATGCATTAAATATAGTTGAAAAAATTAATGAATTTAATTATGAATGTTTAAGTAATGCACTTGATTTATTAAATCGTCATGGTAATTTAGATCATAAAGATAGACAACGTTTACGAACAATACAAAAAAACTCTTCTTTAGAAAGTGCACATCTTGTTAAACTTGTTTAGAAAATTTTTTTCAAATAAAAGACAAAAAAACTAAACGAAAGTATAACATGCGAATTTTTTTTTTGTATGTACTAGATTGCATAAGGTTGTGTTGCCGTTTTTTTTTTTCTTGTTCTGTACTTTATTCCTACTGGTTGCGTTTATTCTACACAATTACGAATCAGTAGGTTGTGTTCACAGGAGGGTAAGAGGGTAAGACAGATGGTAGCAACACCAAACATTTGCATACATACATACATAATAAATTGATCGTCATAGAACGAGCAAAAAAACAACGTTAATACAAACAGATACGTGAGCAATAGTAACATACAAAAAAAAAGAAAAGAACAAATACCAAAAAAACCACCAAAAACTGACGCATTTTTAATGGTGACGTTTATTATTTTCTTTTTTGAGTCGTGATTATCAGGTCCCTTTGAATCATAGTTTATCATGAAATACATAGTGGGCTCTTTCAACCGTATTAATATTTACATAAAAACAAAGCAATAATATTCTTTTTAATCATTGAATATTATTATAATTTTAGATTTCAGTGTGTGTAAGCGTGTCATGACATCATCGATAAATGATTTTTATGAAGGAAAAAATATTCTTATATTTGGTTCAACAACATTTCCTGGTAAAGTTTTAATTGAAAAACTCTTACGTTCATGTCCAAATATTGATAAAATCTATTGTCCAATACAAATATCAACAAAAAAATCTAATACAAATACAAATCAAAATTTTTTACCAATAGATATATTTGCTGAAATCTATACAACAAAATTATTTGATCGTGTACGACATAATAATGTAAAATTTCAAGAAAAAATTATACCATTTGATATTAATTTATTATATACATTATTAGATCATGATAATGAAAATAATTTTGATAATAATGAACAAGATAAACAAATAGAAATTTTATCATATAAAAATATACAAAATACAATTGATATTTGTTTTTATATGGCAAATATTTCAATAGATTTTGAAGAACAAAATCTTAAAGATATGATTCAAACAAATGTTATTGATCTTAAACGTATATTAGGTTTTTTGAAAACTTGTAAGAAACTTAAATCAATTGTTTATCTATCATCAATCTATGCAAATATTGGTAAATAGAATTTGTTATTTTTGTTTTTTAAACACTTTTCATATTCATTAGAATAGTTCAAAAAAAAAATCGATAAATAGATCTTGTCTTTGAAATTTTTATCTTAGTTAGTTTTGTAAAGGCTCAGGAAATTAGATTGAATTAAGTAAAACGATTAACACATTGTCAAGAATTTCATTGTATGTAATATGTTGATTTACGACAAATGAAAGTGATTTTGGAAAATTAATTTTTTGAAGTCTATATTTAAAAAGAACAGAAATATTTTGATCATAATTCATAGTTTTTAACTTCTGAGAAACATTTGTAAGATAGTCACAAATAAATATTTTTTTTGTTTCAAAAGTTTTGAATCATTTGTTAATTGAAAAATTTTGATATATTATGATATGATCAATTTTAAACTATAAAATTTTCGATTGATTATTGAAAAATTATAAAAATAAAGTATTAGAATTGATTTGTCATTGATATTATTTTGATTTATTTAAGAATTACTGTCAAAGGAAAAGATGAAGGTTTGAAACTCCCAGCACTTTTTTTGGCATTCCCAGCACCAAAAGATATTCTAGTGCACATATAATTTTAAAATTAGACTGAAAATTAAAGTAATAGTGATATTATTTCAATTCAAGGTTTTTTTTTTTTACCAAGACAAGATGATTTTATGAAACACGATCAGCAGTTCTATAGAAATAAGATCTTATTATAATATATAATCTACTTCTTTATTGCGTGTTTGAACGATTAAGTACAATAATGATGACGAAATGTGTCTCAAAATAATCTTCTTTTAATTAGTCACAACAACAACATCGTGTTTTACATTTTGAATCTTGCAGAAATTGCACTAACAGACTTTTCAAAAAAAATAACGATTTTTTATTTATTTATAAAATTTGAGAGGAAGGAAAAATACTCCTACTTTTCGGCTACGTTCCAGTTGGAGTACTGTCTAATGACAGATTCAGTAGCTAGATGTCTTTCTTTCAATTAACACTATTGATAACTCTGAACAAGAGCAAATGTATATCACAATATAGTTAGTATACTATTGGACAGATGATCTGAGACAAACAGTCGTTCGTAATTTGTCCAGAGTGAGTTTTGAACACAGTACCTTATGAATACTTACTGAACAATGTACCCATTCAATCATGATGGCCTGTAAACCTTGACTAAAGGTTTTCAAAGTCGAAGAATTCAAAAAATTTCAGTCAACTTTTTAAAAAAATTAAAATCGCTTGGAAGTAGTTTTATTCTTACTCATAACTATCACTGTGATTTTCAGTCTAACTTCAAATATGTATGGGTATCACAGAAACTTTCAGCACTTTTCATAACCTATAATGTCTATCAGCACGTATTCCTTTGGGTATGGTTCGCTTTGATTTTGCTTATATTTTTTGAAACCAATTGTTCTCTTATAGTAGATTGATGATTCATTTTAGATATATCAACTATGGGCATCCAAGAGGATATTAAATGAAAAATTGAAAATGTATTTTTTCATGATTTTAATAGGGGCGACATATACTCTGACATATGGATTATTTTATCACATAAAATTTTTTATTCATCTTTTTATTATTAGTTGAAAAACGCTGCTAGTATGGATTAGGAGCCTATTTTTTTTTACAGTGAATTACAAACATCCCTGAGAAAATTCTAAATAAAGTGAAATTGTATTTTACACTCAATTGATTCGTAAAAAGTCATCTTTCTTTATAATTGATTTTCTACTACTTCAATTTGGACAAAATTCAATGATGTATAATTTATTAGTCTTCTTGTAAACAAAATTTTTTTTTTCTTGTTATTTTTGGCTGTTGTAGATTATGTTGACATTCGAGAGATGTCAAGGCACTATTGAGCAAAGAACAAAAGTCTTTCTAAAAACATCTGACATGTCCGTCTAGTCTGTGAAAAAAATGCTTACTGTATGTTTTCAAGGAAATATGATGACTTTTAAAGAAATAGAATGTACTCATTGTTCTTTTTTTGATGGACACGCTTGACTTTTATAAATATCTTATTCATAAGTAGCACTTACGAAAAAAGGTCCTTCAAGTACGACTTGCCGATCGAACAAATCTTTGGTATATGAATAGACCTTGATGAGGCTAGTAGATCTCTATAAGAGTTCATCCCCGTGTGCATCTTTCTTAAGTTATTGTAGTTTTTTTTTATTTCTGGCATGTATTAAACCTTTTAGACTGAAGTCTTCAGGCATTCTTATGTACACGAGACTTACTGATAAGCAAAATTTCATTTTGAAATTGTGTTATACGATGTTTTCACGAATATTTTGTCCGAGATAAATAACTGAATAGAATTATAATAATTTCGGAAGGTCAGCGTATGGGAACAAATCCTGGTAGGTTTCTACTATTCTCCCAAAGTTTACTAAAGGGCAACGTATCAGCTTGCTTGACGAGCAGCACTTGAAGATATTTATTCATCAATGAGATAAAAGTCTATAAGTCTTTCTTATAAAAAAAACGGTCACTTTATTAGTTTGATTCCTGATGGCTAAAAAGGAAGCTAAATATCATAGCCAAAATGGATACTTCTTTCTCGAGAAAGAAACATTCATTTTTACTAGAGATTGAATCGAATCGAATTTTATTGGTCCGAGTTCGGAATGGTCTCTAATTTTGCTTATACAATTTCCCAAAAACTATTTGTCATAGGCGTTTAATCTAATAAATTGGTTTACTCTTGAAATGGAATGTTTATAGGCTTATATCATTTTTGTGTATTTTACAATTTCATTGACTTCTTTCTATTGAAAAAAAAAAATTTCGAATCACTAACGGACTATTCTGTATTAATTTCAAGATTAGTGGTATTCATACGATAAAATAAATCGAAATACATTCTACGATTGATTTTTTTTTTGGAAATTTTTAATAATCATATAATATTTTATTTAGATTGTCCATACATTGATGAATGTATTTATCCATGTCCAATTGAACCTCATAAATTACTTGATGCTCTTGATTGGATGGATAAAGAAATGGTTGCAATAGCTACACCAAAACTTATTGGTTCGAAACCAAATGCATTTTCATTTTCACATTGGCTTGCTGAAACAATTCTATCTGAAGAACAAAAAAATCTTCCATCAATATCAATTGTTCGTGTATCAATTATAGGTGCATCATGGAAAGAACCATATCCTGGTTGGGTAGAAAAATCTAATGGACCAAGTGAATTTTTTGTTGCTGCTGGTCGTGGTTATTTACGTTCCATGAAAGGTGATTCACATGATGTACTCGATATTGTACCTGTTGATATACCTGTTAATTTATCAATTACTGCTGCATGGCAAAAATATTCAGAAGATAATAATGATCATATAACAATATATCATTGTACATCAAGTGGTCTTAATCCATTTCGTTGGCAAGAAATGAGTAATTATTTTACAGAATATTCAAAACGTGTACCATATGAACATGCATTTCGTCGTCCTAATTTATCTGTAACAAGTCATAGTTTAATACATGATTCCTATATATTTTTTTCACATTTAATACCAGCTTATTTAGCTGATATTGGTTTATGTTTAATTGGACGTAAACCACATATTGTTAATATATATAAAAATTTACATCGTACATTACTTAAACTTGAATCATTTACAATACGTGAAGAAATACAATGTTCATATGATAGTTTAAATTCATTAAGACAATTAATAATTGAAACAAATAATTTAAATGAATTTTATTTTGATATACGTGCATTACATTGGCCAACATATATTGAATCATATTTAATTGGTACAAAACGTTATATTTTAAATGAAGATATACATTGTTTAAATGGTGCACAAAAACATTTAAATAATTTACGTAATATACGTTGGACATTTAATACA